TTGTGCGCGTACTTTGGCTAGGTTGGCCTCAGACTTTTCCAGGTCATCTTGACACTCCAGGGCTTTCTTTTTCAGACTGCTTATAAGTCTTTCATCCTCTCGGCTTCTTTCCAGGTTTCTAGCAGCCATTCTCATTTTCTGAATTTGGGCTTTGAGGGTTTCATTTTCCTGAGTTAGCTTTTTCTTCTCGCCTTCATCCGCGGCGGCTTGCAAACCATTCTTAAACTGAAGGTCCATGACTTGCTTTTCTAGCCTGCCTATAGTTGCTCTGAACACATTTTCTTTGGCCAGTCAATCCCATTGCTCTTGTGATGCTCCGACAAATTCTTGAAGATGGGGTCTTTTGGCCAGCCTTCCAAACTCAACTTCCCTTTTCTACCAGGCAAGATATCCTGGTGCAACTTCACCTCTGGACAGATCATGCACTCGAGTGTTCGCCGTCAAGTACTGACATTCGCTCCAAATTTGGCGGACTACTGCTTCATGAAACTGGCATGTATATGATCTCATCTACGGGAAGCCACCAAAATGTCCACTCTATTTGACTTGCACTGCTGGAACGGAGATGTGATACAAATTCTATAACCCCTTCTAGCAAGATGATCCCATCAACCCTCGTATAAAATTCCTCTATGCAGGTTTTCTCTGTCGACCCATAACTCAGGAATTGAGGACGATGGCATAGATGTTCAATCATCCACATCTGCAGCAACAAGTTGCACCCCTCAAAAAAGTCTCCTTCGGTTTTGCAGGCTGTGAGAGCGCGGAAGATGTCAACTACTATCATGGGTGCGAGGGTGTTTTTGGCCTGAGTATGCAAAGTGCTGACAACCCTAGCTATTCGTATGTCGATATTTCCATCTTTCCTAGGAAACACCAGAAGTCCCAAGAAGACCACCATAAAACCAAAACACCTGTGTTATTCCCATTTGAGGCGGTTCCCTTTGCTACAAATTTTGTTTTCTGGATTGTTAAACCCTCCTATGTGACCGTATCTTTGGTATATAAACTGCGGAGTGGAAAATCCTGCGGCCAAATCTGGGTTACGGACCCCTGCTTATATTTAAGGAATCTAGGAATCTGTGCACAGCGATGACTCTTGGAGCAACCAGATACTTGTGTCTCAGTGGAACTTCAGCGCTCCCAATATATCTGGCTATTTATTTCAAAGTTGGGGTGAGTTCAAAATCTGAGAAATGAAAAACGTTATGGGCTGGGTCCTAGAATGTAACCAATGCCTTTATGATGTCCCCTCTAGGCCTGATCTTCAACAACCCAGTGAGTCCTCCCAAGTACAGATTGACTTTATCTTGCCCTGATTTACCCAAATCTTCCCACCACATACACAGCTCCAAAGGGATCTTGTTCATGAGTGTTATTGGCAAATTTTGACTCGTGCTCATTCTGCACATTTATTAGGGTGATTAAGCAAAATCATGACTCATTTGACTCAAGAAAAGTTAATTTTTTAAATTGTCATTTCAAAAATAAAACCCGGCTTTGCAAATATGGCCTTTCAGCACTTCCGGGGAGAAGATTTTAAGGCTGTGCTTGCTAACCGGCCAAAAATTCGAAAAAGAGACCAAAGGTGGTTGTTCTTGCTAAAACAGCCTTCCGACGTCCTTTTGGGGACATTCGACTATTTTAGACAAAAATGGCATCACCCTGCTTATTTAAAATAAAATAAAATTTTTGTTCTTTTTGGGCTATTTTTGCAAAAAGGAAGTTGGACCCGATGGGGGTTGCCTACGTATCTCACACCCTGTGAGAATCAAACTGACGTAGTTCGGGCAATTCTGACAAAACAAAAGCCAACTCTTTTTTTTCTTCTCTTTTCTTTTCAAAATTTTGGCAGAGTTTCGGTATGTTTTGGACATTAGTTTTCAAAAACAAACAATTATCTTTCTCGGTCCCCACATTTTCCTTTTCAATTTTTTCTCTATGAGCCGGTCAACATGCAAATCCGAAGCAAATGAATGCACAAGTAGCAAGTAAGATGCATCAGGATGGTCTTTCATTTCGGGTACACCTATCCTAGATAGACCCAACCCCTGTGTTGAGTCTCCAAAGTCAAATGCACATGATGCAAATAAACGTTCCTACTAGGGTCGGTATGAGGGTGAGTTATTCTAGGTTCAAAACCTGGGTATGTGTTCTAGACTGTGTACCCGAGTGGACAACTCGAGCCGAGGAGGGGGCTACGAACCGGGAACCAAAAGGCCATCCGGCTTAGTAACTTATCCGAGCCTCTTTCTTATTTCAAGGTATGACACTAACAGAATAGGGAATCTCGACCAGCGAGCACATCCCCAAAGATGAGAAGAGAAGTGTTTTGTAGCAGTTTATATACAGTTCAAATAGTATCAAAGCGGTAAAAGCAATATTTAGCACATTAGGCCCAAACATGTAATGAGATAATAAATAAAGCCAAATATAACAATTCATCTAAGCTCGAATTATGAACTCTGAACCAGAAGTTCTGGGTTCAGTCCCCAGCAGAGTCGCAAAAGCTGTCACACCTCCTTTTTTCCTACATCCCGAAAGGGTATAAGAGAGTTTTTTCCAACTTAAAGTGACAATCGAAACGGGATTCATTTATTATTAAAAATTCAGAGTCGCCACTTGGGATAATTTATGGTGTCCCAAGTCACCGGTTCAAATCCCGAATCAAGGAAAAGATTGACTCTGTTTTATAGTCCGCGAACACAAAAATTCGGGTAAGGAATTCTGGTAACCCGGGAGAATGTGGTAGGCATTCCCAGGTTCTGTGGTTCTATCACAGTCGCTCAACTATTATAATTGGCTTATTATCTGATTTTAATACATGTTTTAGCCTATGGTTCAATTTTAACTTATTAACCGCTCTTATTCATTTTTAGGAAGATTGCAGCGTCATTTAAAATATATCTTGAACCACGTCACATAAATGCATCCGCGGTCTATGACACATTTTATTTAACATTGTTGGGATTTAGATTTGGGTCACATGAAATGCACAATCGAGTTTAGGAAGGTAATTTTAAATTACGCGCCTAAAACAACTATGCATTTTTCAACTTTGCGAGGGCCATAGAAAATTCGCTAAATGACATGCCTCGAATTCTAAGGATTTAAAATTAATTAAATGAGGGCCATGAGTTTTGAGGTTTTATTGTGGATGGAGTGGTATAAATTGATAAGTACAAAAGGCCTAAAGAAATGAGTTAGCTACATGTATATCACTGGAGCCTTTTGTTATAGCATACTACAATTCAGAAAGGTGGAGATTAATGTGAAAATAACAAAAGACAGGTGCCAGCTTTGAGTTCATCTCCATATCATCTTCAAAAGACCGACTTTCGTTTTCAAATTCTTGAAAGAAACTAACAAAATTTTATAACAAAATAATGAATCTTAAATGACCATATGAGCAAACAAAAAAAAAAGAAACCATGCTGAGAACTATTCAGATGAACCAGAAGGAACAAAAAAAACATGGACATACAAAAATGCATTTTAAACTTGATTATAACAAAGAACACTTAAAGTAATTAATTTATTTAACACTATGCTAAAGAGAAAGGTGTAGTATCACCACTATAACTTCTACAGTACCATTTTGAAGCAGTGGAAGTTGAATCTTCACATGGTTAATTGAAGAAAATATGCAGCCAATAACATAAATTGAAGATAAGATCCTTCCACTAACGCAGTCTATTTTTTTTTACATCTTAATATTGACAAATTGTTCAACTTCACATGCTTCTTTAAATTTCAAAATATGAACATGGTGCTACATGGGCTTGAAATCTAAATGTAAACAAAACAATACCTGCTGGTTATAAGTCATGAGCCAAGAAAAATAAATAAAGAAAAGAAATAAAGAAAAAAATGAAACAGAATCATGAACATACTAAAATAACGTTAACATTTGCAAATCTCAATTCACTCAATCAAAGAAACATCATTCATGCGAACAGATCCAATACGAAAGAAACTTTATAAAAAAAAACAAATCAATTTGCTTCTGCTTTAATAAAGATGCTCCGACATTTTTTAACTCAAGAATTTGAATTACATACCTACAAGAGAGTGAATTCAAATGAATAAAATCTGAAAATTGTAGAGTCAATACAGCAGCAACAACAAAATCTCTATCAACTCTTCTTCAAACCCAAGATTCAAGGCACGAAATGTTGAAAGAAAAATTTAATGAAAATTTTCAACCTAAATTTCTCTCCTCCCCCTCTCTTCTTTTTTTTTTCTTCTTCTCAAATTTTCTCTTCTATTTATAGCAAAATTTTTCGAGATTATTTCAGATTTTTGTTTAAAATATTTTATTATTTTTTAATTAAAAGAAATCCCATTTACAAATTGCTTTTATTTTTTTATGAAAAGAAATTCCACCTTTCTTTACTTTTATTTTTTAAATTCCAACTTTAATTACTTTTATCTTATTTAAAATCCCACTTTTTTTTTATTTTTTAAATGAGAATTTCACTTATTTAACTTTTCTTCAAAAAACAATCCAGCTTCTTTTGCTTTTCTTTTAAAAATGCTACTTTCTTTTACTTTAAATTTTTTTAATTTTTAGATACCTTTATATTTATTTTTTAATTCCAACTTTCTTTTACTTTTTATTTTTTAAAAATTTTCACAAAACTTTACTTTTATTTTTTTAATTTTCTACTTTCTTTTACTTTTTAAAAGAGAATTCCACCTACTTTTACTTTTATTTTTTTATTCAATACTTCCCTTTTTCTTATTTTTTAAATCACTCCTGAAAATTAAAAAAAATTAATATTTTTCTGAAGTTTTTTATTATTTTAAAATAAAAATAAAAATAAAATAATATTAATAGTAATAATTTACCTTTTAAAATTTTGTATTTTTACCCTATAATAAAAATGTAACAAAGCTAAAAATTGTAGGTTAAAACCCCTACAATATTTACATAGAAGAAGTGATAAAAAATTAAATATGAAAGTGGGCTCGGGGGGGTAATATTGGTTGTCATGAGCCTAGAATAAAGGCTCGCTGGAGGATCGGTGAATTATAGCTAGCGGTGGTGCTACGAAGATAGGAGTGGCTGGTGGAGGGGGGTACGAAACTGGTTTGGGTGGTGGAGCTTGTGGGGTTTGGGAGGTGGTGCCTTGGTAGTGATGGTAAATAGGAAAGCATGCAGATGAATCAACAGTAGGATGTTCCTGGGTTTGAGTCAATGGTGGGATGAAAGCAGGGTTGGCGGGGTAAGCTGGTGGTGGTTTCCCTTTTGCCCAGGCCTAGTACATTTCAGCCATCTGCTGCTTCAACTTATACATCTCTTCTTTCATCGAATTAACATCCAATTCTTCCACCTCTCTTGAAGGATCGATGCTACTCGCATCAAGTTCTTGGTTATACATGATCAATTCGCCTTTTGACCTGGTGTTGTATGGATGGGTTGCCAGAATGCTCAACAAACTAACCACCTGCCTTAGCTCTACAGCATCAACAACAAACTCGTTAGTGATTAGAGCTTAACAGATTGGTAACCGCATATTTGTGGAATGCAATGCACCTAAGTAATTAATCATTTCTATCATGTATTTGCTCGATTGCTTGTGTCATCCCGACTTTTCCTTATTTCCATGTGCTTCCCTTTTTCACTCTTTTTTTTTCTTTTTTTTCTTGCCTTTCTTTGTTTGACTTCTCTTTGTTTTTTTATTCTCCCATTTCCCTTTCTTATTTTGTTTCCTTCTCACAGTTTCTTATTTTCTTTCTCTTTTCTTTTGGTTATGGTCGAATCCTATGGAGATTGCCTGTGTATCATGACCCCGTATGAATCAGACCGAGCGTAGTTCTGGGGTATAAGTGTAAAAATAAGTAATAAAATATTTTTGGGACTTTCAAAAGGCAAATACTTTGATTATAACGACTCAAAAACTAACAGACTCAAAAGAAACTAACAGACTTTAAAAGAAAGAAAATACAGACTCAAGTAAAAAAAAGAAACAGAAAAATCACAAATACATTAATGCCTCAAATGCTCCTGGGGCCCGCGGGATGTCTTTCGGTCTCGCCACGGGCCTATATGCAAGATCCCTTTGAAGCCTCTCCAAGTCACTCATTATCTGTCGGACAAAACATCATCACTGCCGCGAAGAAAGTGGTGCGAGTCATATCCTCACATGCTTGGCATTTCACAACAATGTAGTCTGCGATGACTCTGACCCGCTCTCGGATTCTACCCTTTTCCTGAAGCAGATGTCCGACCTGTTGATTCCGGGCTTCTAACACTTGAGTGTCGTGGAGATGTTGATTTTGCAACTGTTGCATTTCTTCCTCCATATGACCCATCAAATCATAATAGTGTTCCCTATCAGCCTTGAAGTCCTTGGCTTGCTTGGCTGCTTCATTATCGAGGGTAGTCATTTTTCTCTTCAGGCTGGTGATTATCCCTTCATACTTTCTTTTCATTTGCTACACAAACTTTGCCCGCTCTTCCGCCTCCTTTGCCCATTGTGCCCGGACTTTGGCTAGGTTGGCCTCAGACTTTTCCAGGTCATCTTAACACTCAAGGGCTTTCTTTTTCAGACTGCTTATAAGCCTTTCATCCGCTCGGCTTCTTTTTGGGTTTCTAGCAGCTGTTCTCATTTTCTGAATTTGGGCTTTGAGGGCTTTATTTTCCTGAGTTAGCTTTTTCTTCTCGCCTTCATCCGTGGCGGCTTGCAAATCATTCTCAAACTGAAGGTCCAGGACTTGCTTTTCTAGCCTGCCTATAGTGGCTCTGTACTCATTTTCTTTGGCCAGCCAATCCCATTGCTCTTGTGATGCTCCGACAAATTTCTTGAAGATGAGGTCTTTTGACAGGCCTTCCAAACTCAACTTCCCTTTTATACCAGGCAAGATATCCTGGTGCAACTTCACCTCTGGACAGATCACACACTCGAGTGTTCACCGTCAAGTACTGACATTCGCTCCAAATTTGGCGGACTGCTACTTCATGAAACTGACCATCGGGACCAATCTCGACCACATGGCGACTAATATCTTCATCCCTGGGAACCATTTGATATATCCCTAATTATCTCAAAACCCGGTGTGGGGCATAAGGCTGGATACTCCTGAGACTCATCAAAAGGAAATGAGGCCCGGTAGCTGGCATATATATGATCTCATCTACGGGAATCTACCAAAATGTCCACTTTATTTGACTTGCACTGATGGAACGGAGATGTGATACCAATTCTATAACCCCTTCTAGCAAGCTGATCCCATCAACCCTCGTATAAAATTCCTCTATGCAGGTTTTCTCTGTCGACCCATAACTTAGGAATTGAGGATGATGGCATAGATGTTCAATCATCCACATCTGCAGCAACAAGTTGCACCCCTAAAAAAAGTCTCCTCCGTCTTTGCAAGCTGTGAGAGCGCGGAAGATTTCAGCTACTATCATGGGTGCGAGGGTGCTTTTGGCCTGAGTAAGCAAAGTGTTGACAACCCCAGCTATTCATATGTCGATATTTCCATCTTTCCTAGGAAACACCAGAAGTCCCAAGAAGACCACCATAAAAGCAAAACACATGTGTTCTTCCCATTTGAGATGGTCCCCTTTGCTACAAATTTTGTTTTCTGGATTATTAACCCCTCATATGTGACCGTATCTTTGGTATATAAACTGCAGAGTGGAAAATCCTGCGGCCAAATCTGGGTTATGGACCCCCTGCTTATCTTTAAGGAATCTAGGAATCTGTGCGCAGCGATGACTCTTGGAGCAACCCGATACTTGTGTCTCAGAGGAACTTCAGCGCTCCCAATATATCCGGCTATTTATTATAGAGTTGGGATGAGTTCAAAATCTGAGAAATGAAAAATGTTGTGGGCCGGGTCCCAGAATGTAACCAATGCCTTTATGATGTCCCCTCTAGGCCTGATCTTCAACAACCCGGTGAGTCCTCCCAAGTATAGATTGAGCTTATGTTGCCCTGATTTACCCAGATCTTCCCACCACATACGCAGCTCCAAAGGGATCTTGTTCATGACTGTCATTGGCAAATTTTGACTCGTGCTTATTCTGCACATTTATTAGGGTGATTAAGCAAAATCACAACTCGTTTGACTCAAGAAAAGTTAATTTTTGAAATTGTCATTTCAAAAATAAAACCCGGCTTTGCAAATATGGCCTTTCAGCACTTCCAGGGAGAAGATTTTAAGGTTGTGCTTGCTAACCGGCCAAAAATTCGAAAAAGAGAACAAAGGTGGTTGTTCTTGCTAAAACAGCCTTTCGGCGTCCTTTTGGGGACATTCGGCTATTTTAGACAAAAATGGCATCACCTTGTTTATTTAAAATAAAATAATTTTTTTTGTTCTTTTGGGCTATTTTGCAAAAGGGAAGTTGGACCCGATGGGGGTTGCCTACGTATCCCACATCCGGCGAAAATCAAACTGGCTTAGTTCGGGCAATTCTGACAAAACAAAAACCAACTCTTTTTTTTCTTCTTTTTTCACAAAAATTTTCTCTTTTTTGTTCAAAAATTTTGGCAGAGTTTCGGTATGTTTTGGACATTGGTTTTCAAAAACAGACAATTATCTCTCTCAGTCCCCACATTTTCCTTTTCAACTTTTTCTCTATAAGCCGGTCAACATGCAAATCTGAAGCAAATGAATGTACAAGTAGCAAGTAAGATGCATCAGGATGGTCTTTTCATTTCGGGTACACCCGTCCTAGACAGACCCAACCCCTGTGTTGAGTTTTCAAAGTCAAATGCACATGATGCAAACAAACGTTCCTACTAGGGATTCGGTATGAGGCTGAGTTATTCTAGGTTCAAAACCTGGGTATGTGTTCTCTCTGTGTACCCGAGCGGACAACTTGAGCGGAGGAGGGGGCTACGTACTTATTATGGTCGAGACTTTGTGGAAAAACTTTAATTACTTTTATCTTATTTAAAATCCCACTTTTTTTACTTTTTAAAAGGGAATTCCACTTATTTAAGTTTTCTTAAAAAAAACAATCCACTTTCTTTTGCTTTTCTTTTAAAAATGCTACTTTCTTTTACTTTAAACTTTTTTAATTTTCAGATACCTTTATATTTATTTTTAATTCCAACTTTCTTTTACTTATTTTTTTTAAAAATTTCCACAAAACTTTACTTTTATTTTTTTAATTTTATACTTTCTTTTATTTTTTAAAAGAGAATTCCACCTACTTTTACTTTTATTTTTTTTATTCAATACTTCCCTTTTTATATTTTTTAATATCACTCCTGAAAATTAAAAAAAATTAATATTTTTAGAATTTTTTTTTATTATTTGAAAATAAAAATAAAAATAAAAGAATATTAATAGTAATAATTCACCTTTTAAAATTTTGTATTTTTACCCTATAATAAAAAGTGTAACAAAGCTAAAAATTGTAGGTTAAAACCCTTAAAATATTTACATAGAAGAAGTGATAAAAAATTAAATATTGTCAAAAATTAGGTGCACACAGTACCGCCGGTGTCTGAGTTGGTCCCACCGGCTCAAAAGTATTCGAAACTTGCTCCTCCACTAGAGCGACTGGTGGCTCCATAGGTGCTGCTCTAGCTGTAGTGCGAGCCCCACCTTGGCCTCTACCTTATCCCTGCCTTCTCACGTCCCTGACTGGTGGTATTGGCTTGCCCGCCCGATCCGGCTAAACATGTCCTCACCACCTCCGAGAGAATAGAAGAGTAAAGGTTCAAACTTCGGAAATAATAAATCTGCACGACAAGAATGTAGAAAGTGATATTTTTTCTAATAGATCGGTAGTCTCTCGAAGATAAGTACCTAGGGCTCTGATACCAATTTATCACGATCCAAAACCACCAACCTGTCGTGATGGCGCCTAACGCACTTTCTAGGAAAGCCGAATATAACAATAACGAATCATAATAACTGAAATGACGAAATTAATATAAGTCTAAAGCCTTCAACATAACATAATAGCATCGATACATAATAACTTCTCCAAAACTAGTAAATACATAGTCATGAGCTCTAAAACGAAAATACAACTCTGAAATACAAATAACAATACTATCTGAATGAAATAACAGTACTAAAGGAAAAGACGCCAAGACTCCGATCGAGATGTAGCTCAACCTCATCTCTCCTAAGATAACCCAGCAACAAGCCTCAACTACTAGTGGTTCGGTCCAACACCTGGATCTGCACAATTAAGTACAGAGGTGTAGTATGGGTACAACCGACCCAATGTACTCAACAAGTATCATAACTAACCTCGGCGAGAGAAAAGAAGCAAGAATTATAAATGATACTTGCTAATCACTTGTACAGTTCATAAATTCAACAAGTGCAAAAACAATAATATGATCAAATTATGAATCACAAAAAGAACTAATTTGGTGCACACAATTACTTAAGGTACCCTGCTCAATCAACAATACAACATATAAAGAAGATATGCAAATAAATTAGGTAAAACCAAGGAAATTGCAAATAAAGATGAAATGCAATAACCAAATCAAACACATGCTAGCTTTTCCTCAGAATCTCAAAATCCGACCAATCCATTGTTCAACTTTTCTCAAACCGCATGTACACCAACAAGAAATAACATGAGAGGGTGACCCTAGGGGAATGGATCTATATCCATACGTTTTACGGCGTAGTCATATGCCAATAACCATAATCCGCCTCGCGTGGTCACATGCTCAATATCACAATCTGGCGTGGTCCCGTGCTCCCAATCCAATCCATATCAAATAGAAAGTAGATATAAAAGAATACATGTACATGATCAATGAACATCAAATTTCATACTCTTGGACTGGTATAAGTGACATGCTAAGGTGTATGCATGTATAAAGTGTGCTATCATAGCTCAAATCAGTCAATTGCATCACGAAAGTAGAAATTATCAAGTTCAATCAGGAGACTAATATCTTTGTGACCTCAAACATGGTTCAAATAGCTCACAAAAGGGGTACACATATCAGAAACATCATAGCATAAAGCTTAGCAATCAATTCAAGGCGTATCACAACTTAAGCACTACCCCGAGCATGAATAATACCCCAATGCACGCACATAGGCTCAACCCTATACATGTGCGCCATCCATAACACATAGCTATCACAAATAACCCAAGCAGCTAGTGCCTCAACCAAGTTTAGCTAAGATACTTACCTTAAGCAAGCTAAATCAGTACTCCAAGAAGCCCTTCCCGTGTGAATCAACCCCCAGACGACTCGAATCTAGCGAAAATAACGTAATATCATCAATAAAAGCCACATGAAACAATTTCAAATGATAAATCTAAGATCTTGAATCAATTATGCAAGTCAACTTAAAAATAAACCCCAGACCCGCATCCCGGAATCCGACAAAACTCACAAATTCCGAATACTCATTCTTATATGAGTCCAAATATATGCGTTTTATCCAATTCAATCTCAAATCGACTCTCAAATCATAAAATCTCACTCTCTAAAATCATAGTTCAAACCCCTTCCCAAATTCCATCTTTAATTCATATAAATTAGGTATAATAATCTATGCGTAATCAATATCAAATACCAAGATCAAATGGTTACTTACCCTTTCAATTGTGATGAAAAGTCCTCCAAAAATCGTCCTTAGCCGAGGTCTATAACTCCAAAAATTAGAAAATGACCAAACCTTTGAATTAATATTTTGCCAGGCTAAACCACATTTGCGGCTACTTGACTATATTTGTGGCTCCTTATCCGGACAGAAGCCCGCATCCGTAGTCCAACCTCAATTCTAGACCTTCCGCTTCAGCGGTCACCCAGCCGCATCTGCGGTCGTGCTTTTACACCCTCATCATTGCAGATGCGCTTTCGCATCTCCACCCATGCTTACGCTTTTGCGGTTCTTGCCTCCTTAGCCCAGCTCCACTTCTGTGGCCCCAGGTCTGCATTTGTGAAGTCGTACATGCGGCCCTTCCTTCGCTGGTGCGAACACACTAGAAATCAGAAACCCTCAGCAATGTAACATAGTCCAAAATGATCCGAAATCAATCTGAAACACACCCGAGGCCTCCGGGACCACGTCCAAATACACCAACCAATCCCAAAATATAACACGGGACTATTCGAGGCCCCAAATTACACCAAACAATGTCAAAACCACGACCCACATCTCATTCAAACCTAAGGAACTAATGGACTTTCAATTTCCAATTCTCGTGCCGAACCATATCAAATTAACTGAGAATGACCTCAAATTTTGCGTGGAAGTCCCAAAATGACGCAATGGACCTATCTCAACTCACAGGACCAAATTCGAATCTGATATCAATAAAGTCAACTCTCGGTCAAACTTATCAACCTTCCAAACCTTGAATCTCCCAACTTTCGCCAATTCAAGACAAAATGACCTAGGAACCTCTAAATTCAAATGTGAACATACGCCTAAGTCCAAAATCACCATATGAAACTATTGGAACCATTATCAGACAAGTCTTGACTAGTTAATGACACAAATGACCAATGGGCAAACCTTTTGACTTTTGATCACAAAGATTTGCCTATTAATTAGGTGACCTGCCAAATGCTGAAAGTTAAAAGACCACCTCCAATGTCTCATTTTTGCCATTTTCTAGGTCTAGCATATTTTGGAAAGCCTGGGCTTGGAATATGTCATATTCTTGTATGAGAAATATAGGGATGTCAATCTTGGCCCCAGCCCAAATGGCCCGCCCAACCTATCCAAGATTGGGTTGGTCATTGACCCGCGTATTTATTGATCTCAACCCATCTTCACCCAACCCATTTCAACCTATTTAAAGTTGCGTTAATTTTTAGCCCAAATTAATTCATGAGTAACTTTACCAAAATATCTTAGAAATAATTCTTTTTTGTTTGATAATATGTTATATATGACCATAACAAAAGAAAAAAAGTCTTATTCAGTAATTATTCAATTCATAAAAAAATAACACATATAAGTAAAGCTTGATAAGAGTTCGGCGGGTTGGGCTTTGACCCAAATTTTAGTCCATCTTGAGCCAACCCATCTTAGCCCAAGCAAATGACCCACCCACTTATTGACTCAATCCGTTTTGACCCGCCCAAAATTGACCTAATCCGCCCATTTGAAACCCCTTGAGTAATATAACATTATTTTCGGGAACTACTTCAATTGTTCACATTGGTCACATTATACCACAACTCTAAAAAACTAGGGAAAAAAACACCAGTTGTGTGCCATACCGACCATGCGGATCGATTCGTAGAAGAACATTTCGAACATTCATCTTTAGATACTCTGCCTCCTCGATCCCCTAGAATTTATATTCCTTTCGTACCTTACTAACACTTACTTAAAAAAAAACAAATTGTTAGTTTATGTCTTCAACTCTTTGGAGTGAAACTGAGCTAAGACATCCAAGTCTGTAAAAATCTAAATAAGACAACTAACGTAAAAGAAACTACAAATTGAAATATGGTCTGCTACTAAACAGATACACACATAAATCTGGCGCTATCTCATGATACTACGTTATAGACGTAACACGTAAGATAAGTAATTGTATAGAAATGGATATTTACACTGACTTCCTAAATTAATTCTCTTTTGTACTTTGTACCTGACTAGAATGTGAGATTATAGATTGTGGCTAATCTTAGCAATTATTTGATTATTTGTAAGTGTCGTAGTACCAAAAATAATCTTTCTTCACCAATTTACACGTTAAATAATTCTCCGGACTGCGTTAAAATATTGCTAGATTCGTCAATTTACGCGCTCTTTTACACGTGGTAATTCTATCTCTCGGGAAATAAGTTCTTTCAAACTCAATTTTCATGTGGAGACCCAAAGATGTTATGCGACCGCAGATCTGATTCGGGGCTCCATATTTTTAATTTTTAAACCCGATCCTATGTCGTTATAACTTATGCAATGTCTCATTTTGAGCTTATTTCCTTGTACTTTTAGAGTGAGAAAAATGGTCTAAGAGAGAGGAAGTGTCCTTCATCAAAAATTGCTCCACAAATTCTTGTTTAAACTTTGAAGGTTGTTCATTAACCTTAATACCACCAATGAAAAAGAGATCATGAAAGGGAGCTTAATTACTAGGTGGTTTTTAGTGCAGAGGACTTGAGCATACTACTAGCTAAGATGGTTGATCCAGATCATTTGACCTTCCAAGCTTCGTCTAGTTTGAGATTTTTTTTTTTTTGAGTTTCTCACCCGGTGTCCGGTACCCACATTAAGGCTCGACTAAATTCGGATTCGCGCTGGAAAGTCCCACAGTGGGAGTAAAACACTCCCTAACAAAGGCGACTCCATACTCAGTTTGAGCTTCTGATTGCATGCTTATTGAATTTTCCAAGCACATTTCTAACAGTATCAAACCCCCAATACAAGCAAAGAGTAAGCACTAAAGAACTAAAAATAAACAAGAAGAAAGTTTTTCTTTACGGTATATGTTGAAGAGTAACTGAGGTACTGGCAAGATCAGGATTGAAGAAGTTAAAAAGGAGGACTGGTCGAAAATTTGATTCATTATTCAAGATAAAATATATGAAAAGTTTATTGTATTTTCTAATAACTTTGTATTTCCATATGAATGATAAATAAAAATGAATTCAAAATATCTTGTTCCTTTGCCCTATCTTCAGTCATGGCATTGCACCATCAAACATGAAACAAAAAAGATTCTCAAATAATTGCGTACATGTACATTTAATACCAAATAATTATATTTAAATAGTAATGGTATACTAAAAATTTCAATTATTAATGCCTAAGTGGCAGACAGATTTGAACCTTTCAAATAAGTTTTCCACTATCTTTTTAACCAAACATAAGATGTCATTTCAAAAATACATAGGTTTTCATGTTTTTTAAGTATGTTGTATTTATTAAATATTTGAAAATTAAGTAAGAAATGCCTAATTGAACCCTGACATTTTTCATTTATTGATGACCTATATAAAAACCTTTAAATCAGATTAGATTAATTTTATCTTGTAAGAAATTAAAAATTTAAAGCTACATCATTAATATTTTAAAATTCACCTAATTTCAACTTAGAAAAGCAAAAAGTGTTAAAAATTTAAGGGGGGAGTGAGAATTAATATTCTACTCATAATATTAACTTTAGCTTACTTTCTCTCTGAAATCATTCCATTATCTATATTTGTATATTTTTTTCATTTTTAACTACACCATACAGTATCTTTGAAAGTTTAGTAGCAAATAGTAAGTAGCCTTATACTTTTCAGCGTTTTCCGACGGTTCTTCCGCCGTTGCTCCGCCGTCAACCTCCCTCTGAAATAATCCCAATTATTTAATTTTCAACTTCTTTTTTGCAAAATTTAACCTTTTTTTTTTACTTTACAGATTTGGCCTAGTGGGTCTATAAGACTTTGGTCAAGATTCAAGATCTGGAGCAAATTTAGGGATCAAGAACTGGTTTTTTCTGATCTGGGTCTGCTTTGTTTCTAGTATTTGTAAGTAAAGTTTGAATCTTGACTTTTTTTGTCCTTGACTTTTTTAGATCTTGTATACGAACATTTCAACTAAAAGTACGATTCTTTCTGATCTTTTGATTTGTCTTTAGCTTAGATCTTATTGCTATATGGATAATTATGCTAGATATCTTAGTGATTTGGGTTTTAATGACTAATAAAGATTGGTTTTTTAGTTAGATTTGAATAACAGATGAAAGTTGTTGACTTGGATTTGAGCATATTCCAGGATTTAGTGTCCTTGATTTTGCTAAGTTAATTAATTACTTTAGCTCTCTTTCATTTTTTTTTTTGTTTAGAAATTTTTGTGTATGTTTAAAATGTAGAAAAGATATAGTCTTAGAGAATAGTTAATTTGAGTATTGGAATGAAACTTGTTCAAATGGAGGGGAAATGATAATGAGGTCTTATGCGGGGACTCGATTATAATTTGGATTGAGTTGTTGTTGTTGTGGCTATTGTTACTGTATTTTCCCTTAGATGCATCCGATAAAATACATCCAGCAGATATTTTGTTGTATTGAGTGAGTATGTTGGGTAGGTAGCTTTAAATCTAAAATTGATAGTCTATTTGAATGTTGATAAGCTGTAATCTCTTGATTTTGTGAAGTTATTTATAGTTGATTTATAAGGTCGTGTAATTTGAATTACTTCGTCTTGGGCCATTAATGATTTGAAGTAGAATTTGCTTAGATTTGGAGACTGTTGACAGGTCAGTAGAGCACATAAAGCTAGAAATGCTAATATGTTAATTATGGCAATTCTTGTTTTATTGCAGGAACATAAGAATGTTTCAACTGTAACTATCTGTGAGATTCCTATATCTATCTTGGTGGAAATTGGGTTAAAATTCAGGATTTTGAGATGGAGCCAAATATAGAGGAAGCACTACAAGCTAAAGCGAATGCTGAAAGAAAATTTGCAGAGAGAGACTTTGTGGGTGCAAAGAATTATGCTTTAAAAGCTCAGATGTTGTGTCCTCAGTTAGAAGGCATATCACAAATGGTAGCAACATTTGGTGTTCACAGTGCTGCAGAGATGAAGGTTAATGGAGAATTTGATTTCTACACGATACTGGGTATGGATCCATCCTCAAACCGGGCTAAGCTGAAGAAACAATATAAAAGGATGGCTGTGTTACTCCATCCTGATAAGAACAAAAGTATAGGAGCTGATGGTGCATTTAGGCTTGTCTCTGAAGCATGGACTGTATTGTCTGATCGTGCTAAAAGAAGCTCTTATGATCAGAGGAGAAGTTTATTTACTCTGCATACTTCTGGTGTTGGCAACTATGGTAATTACTCCAACTCTTCAGCTTCTCAAAGCAGGCTCGATACATTTTGGACTGTTTGTACCTCTTGTCAGGTTCAGTATGAATATCTTAGGAAATATGTGAACAAAAGACTGTCTTGTAAGAACTGTCGTGGGGTTTTCATAGCTGTTGAAACTGGATTGGCCCCAGTAAATGGTTCCTATGCTTTTAGCCCTTGGCCTTATGCGCCTGAGAACGGATACAAAAGCCATGGTTGTGGGGTTACGTATGTCCCAACATCGCCTCCTTATTCTGCAAATAATGGGGTACCAGCACATCATTCTAAGCGCAGTTCGGAGCATGTTTCCAATTTATCCTTTCAGTGGAGTTCCTTCCCTGGAACTTCTGCTGGAGTTCTGGATCCGAATGGGTCAGCCACCGGCTTCAGTTTTACCCAACAGGCAAATACGATAGCCTCTGGAAGAAAAGCCAATGGGAAGCAAGAACTCATAAAGATGGCTGGTGTGGTTGCCAATGGATCGGTGAGTAGCGATCAACTGCCCCGCAGACCTGGTAGGCCTCCTAAGAAGAGGAAAATTGATGTGGACAGTACAAGTAGTTATGTGAATGGTGAAGTGGCTTCAAGAGCTTCTGCAGAAGTCATAATGGCAGATGGAAACGGAAATGAGAATTTGAAAAGAAATGTTAAGATTCCTGCGCCTGACGTTTCAATCAGAAGATGGTCCGCAGCTCCTGCATTTGATGCAAGACAGTTATTAATCGACAAGGCAAGAACAGATATCCGCAAGAAACTGGAAGAGATCAGGTTGACTTCCGAAGCTGCTGCTGCAGAGGCCGAGAAAGAGAGAAAGGTGCATGCACAATTTGGTGAATCCAGTGAAAGATCTAAAAGAGCAGGTTTGGGTGTTGCTGCTCATGTATCAGATATGACGAAAAGTGGGTCCATGATTATGACAGTCCCAGACTCTGACTTCCATGATTTTGACCAGGATAGATCAGAGGATTCCTTCAAGCCGAAGCAGATATGGGCTTTATATGACGAGGAAGATGGTATGCCTCGCTTGTATTGTCTGATCCGC